AAGCCAAATACTTCTCAGGAAACCATTCTTGTGGAAGGCTTGAAGCTCGATGATATCCTGGAAGGAATATATACGCTTAACTGCTTGCCCCTTAGGTTGGTTGGTTCTGAGGCATCACCAATACGATGCATTCTTATCAGATAATTAGTCCATGAGTTTGAGGTGGCTGAACCTGGGGTATGTTCATAATTGTCCATTTAGTTCTCCACATGTTTTTGTCCTCTTTTGATTGGATGTGACCTGTTTTTGGATAGTGTTCTATTCATTGCCTTTATTAAGAAGTCAAATTCTGCTGCAGAATGATTAAATTGATGCAGGAAACAATGGGACGAAGGCTGACTTATGTAGATCACTAGTGTTTATATGAAGCGGGATGATGCTTGATACTTCCCCAAACTATCATCTTTTTGTTGGAAAAAGCATGTTTTCCTTGCACGAAGTTTAGGAATGAGCTGCACTGGCCTATAAATGGGGTGACTTATAATATGCAAATTATGTGGGCCAAATAAAAAAAGGTTGTGTTCTTTTATATGCAGATTGGAATTTGGAGACTAATATGGCTCTCGTCCATAGATGTAAAAACTTTTCACATATTTTGTTTGAATAAATTAAGTGTGCGTTTGGTTTTTAATTTGTCAAAAGTTCATTTGGTAAAAGTTAATTTAATGAAAGTCAGTTGTTGTAACGAAATTTATGTTTGAATGTATTTTTTTAAAAGTCAGTTTGATACATTAAAAGTTGTTTGATTTGTGATAGTAAAATGTGCTTTTGAATATACAATTACCAAAAAAGACATTTATTTATAATGATTTATAATTTTATTATACAAATGTAATATATTCAAAATATTTAAAAAATATAATAAAGATTATAAATAACATAAATTTTAATCTATAATGTTAAAAATTTAATTTTAATTATTTTTATTTTTTAATTTGTAATTTTAAAAGATGTAATAAAGATTTGTAATTTTTATTATACATTAATATTAAAAATTAACATGATTAATTACTCAATTTATAATACTAAAAAAATTAATACCTAATTATTATTATTAAAATAATAATTATATTTTTAATGAATTAACTATTTTTTAAATAAAAAAATAAGAGATTAAACTTAGGATAATATGATCAAATAATATGTTACTTTTTAAATTCACTTTTCAAAAATTTCAAATAGTTACGTTTCAAAAATTCACTTTCAGTTACTGTTTGAATGTGCTTTCAGGATGTGTTTTTCTGTAAAATATTCTACCCAAATAACTTTTAACTTTCTGAAAGTGAAATTTTGCTTTCTTCAACGTGAAATGGAGGAAAACCAAATGGACCCCAAATAAGTTGCTATCCATTCCAATCCTTGTCACCTGCTACAGGTAATAAAATTCCGAGAAAAAACAGTGCTCTGAGCATCTATTCTAGATAAGGCTTGTGGTGCTTTTAGCTTCTGCCTTTCAGATTCTCCATAATGAATAGCATCAGTAAGAATCCAAAGCACACCAAGTCCAAGCAACATCCATATAAGGAGGTAAGCCTATTTGGGATTTGAAAACTGGCACAAACACCAAGGCTCCTACACCTATACAGAGAAAACAAGCTGTCCTCGAGGAGCCGTCTCTTCAAATGCCAAGACGGTGGGAGAATCACGTCCCTTGCCATTAACTTAACTTTAAAGAACAAATAATTGTCGAAGTTGTTATTCTTAAGCTTTTGAAATCAAATTTCCTGGAGTACTTTCACTCTAAGAGTACTAGTCAATGACAAAAGAGCCAGAGGGAGTGCTAGAGAAATGGCCGAAGGTACAAGCAAACCCTGCAAGCAAGGAAATGCAATTATGGATGCCCTGATTGTTCTGCATGACATGATTTACATGTTTGCTGATATTTCCCGAAAATCAATACTTTATACAGGGTAAATAACACCTGCACTGGACTGAAATTAGTGCTCATGCAATCAAAGAGCAGAAACAAGAGTACAAGTGTATAATATAGAATATCTAAACCTCAGTCAGCAAATAATATACTTTGGTAACCACTTCCTCATAGGATTCCTTAAGGTAGTCACCAATTCCAGTTCATTCTGCCAGTATAATTGATTATCAGGTCAAACTATGCCATAATACAAACTAACATGTCGTACTGTAACAATTTGACAGGAGTTAACCTTCATTGTTGGCAGTGTAGGCACATGACCATGTTTCCACAACATGATAATTGTAACATTTAGAGCCAATAATTTGAGCAAGTTAGTGTCAATTCGAATCAAGTTTAAAATACTCGAATGTGTAGAAAAATTTATATAGCCAAACCAACCCTAGTCCTAACCCCTCAGGCTTTCAAGCTGGCACGAATAGTCAAATTGTTAAATATTATTTCATTTTATTTATTATTTTTTTCTAATTTCAATTTTCATTTAAAAAAATTAATATTTTAATTTTTATCTTATTTTAATATTATTTTATTAATAGAAAGAAAGAAATTTGAGTATTCAAACTAAACCCATTTGAGTTCAAGTTTGACCCAAATTTTTTTCAAAATAAATGAGCAACAAAGGCCAGGGGGTCTCAAGGAGTGCCTCCCCAAAATTTAGCTTTTATACTAAGAGATTTCAATGAATTGTAAGCTAATTTCATTCTTCTTCAAGGCTCTTGCTTATTTCAAACCATCTAGAACAATTACTGACTAGGATTCTTAGAACTGTTGTTATAGCTGCAAATGCTGGTGGTGCTTGCACTCCCATTGGTGATGTTAGGTAGTAATGTGGGCTCATATAGCTTAATATTTTTTGTATGAATATAGTTCTTTTTGTAATTTTCTTGTAAAAAATTATTCAAGCTGCCTGAACAAGCCCAAAGTATAAAAAAAAAAAATTCTAAACTCCCAAACCTAGATTTTTTGAGTTAATTCAGGCCCTTGTTGTAAATGAAAATTAACTTCCATTATAAGTTTACCAAAAATGACCTCAAAAATTATAAAAAATGACCTAAAAAATTTCAATAAAAGACCTAAAAATAACAAAAAATTGTCCAAAAAAATAGAGAAAAGAACCAAATTTTTTTTTTGATCATTTTCTATAATTTTTGAGGTCATTTTCAATTATTTTCTAATCAATTAATGGTTAAAATTTATTTTTGTTAACAACAAGAGTCATATTGCACCGTTTTAAAAGTTGAGAGAATAATTTATATAATAAATGAGTTTAGAATTTATAGTGCTATTGGACCTAAAATTCAAATAGTAATTTGCTCATTTATCCAAAAAAACAATTCAGTCTCCAAATGTATGGAGCAGAAATTTTGAGGAACTGCATCTCTAATGGAGGAATTAGATTGAATTTGTAGTAGCTTACCCCATTAACATTTTATGAAGAGAAAAGGCTCACGGATACAACCAACTACAAGTTGTTTACCGGGGAAAAAAATCAAGATCCATCAACAGGTTATATTAGCACAGACTCTATCTGAAAGAATATATTAAGGCTTTGGTGCTGGGTGTCCCTTGGCGACATTTAAGCTTATTATAACTAATCTACTCACCATTATAGCAATCATATTGTCAAATATTAAGGTCTTGTTTCTAACATCTCATTGTAAGTCAACTTTTTACCAACAGCAATTCCCAAACATTAAAAGACGGAATATTTGAAAAAAATTTAATCCAGAAATGAAATACAGAAACTTGAGGCAAGGTCATCCAAAAATGCTGTGTGGTTGAACTAAACCTACTAAAATCCCCTTTGGTGTATAATTCTACCAAACAGTTCTGTATATTCAGTCAAAGACAGGTTATCGATGCACAAAAATTGCAAGCAGTGGTTTCTGTATAAACCCAAAAAAGGCCTTATTACAACATTAATGAATTTGAAACAACTAAAACAACAGAACTCATGTTCATTCATAAAAACAAGCAACACAAGAACCAGTCACTTCTCTTCGCAGTTAATGTTGCATAAGACAAAAAAAGCCATCTAAGGTTGAAAGCATATCCATAACCACGAGTTTGGCAGATCAGAGATCTAATGTGAAAACAGGAGATCCTTACAATCACCATTCACTAGAGGATTGCACAAAAAATTGTGATTTAACTTACACGGGTAAGGATGACCAAATGGTCCAACAATTTTAAGACAGGACAGAGAATGTAAATTTATAGGAACAAACCACAAATGTTTTAGTTGTTTTAACTTTTAATCCTTGTCAAGGCTTCATTATCCTTGGGAAATATGCCTGAGAAAACATACCTCTGGGAAAATCAGAAGGAGAATTGTTACAGTTATATCCCACATGTTCGACTCACACATGTTGACCGCACATGTAGTCACTTTCTTTTGTATTTCTCTTAATGTAGAGGATTCAATTTGCTATAAGGTCCAGGAAGCTTTTTAGACCAAAAAACATGGGTAAAATATGAAAACATGGCACCTGCCTATTTTTAAGTTATTACAACGCCATGTAATGGGATGTTTGAAGATTTTTTTTCTTCCATGGTATCCTTACATTGAACAATTTGATGGTAAAAGCCTACAAAACTATTTGCGTATCTAAGTTCTGTACTTCAGCACCCCACCCGTCCCCACCTGAATTAGAACAGAAAAGTCAACACAATAAATATAGCGCTACCCCATAAAAATTGTAATCATGATATGATATCAGTAAATTTTCGAAAGAAAACGATTGGATCAAACCAGTTTTTTAGTTTTGCAAACAAACATGATATATCCAGAGTCATAAACAGGAAATCCCACTGAACGAGTAATCTGAGAACTTCGTTTTATAATAGTAAAAGAACCTCAAATTGGGAGTCAGATTTTTGAGGAGCTTGAGGCGGCTGAAACGAAGAAGTTGGAACCCTAGCACTGTACAGAAACAATGCGCTGGCAGGTTTTTTTATGCGCAACGCCGCCAATACCGGCGTTTAGGGGAAACGCCGGCACAAACGCCGCCAGTTCACCCCGACTGCCTAAAAATTGGCGGGGCAATGATCTATCAGGTACGTTTCCTCCCTCTTTCCTCTCATTTTCAATTTTCTACTTTTTTATATTTTTCCTTTTATGTTTATAATTTTTCGTAAAAATATTTGGAGGCTGCTGAAATATTCTACCAGTAATATTTGACAAGGGAGCTCTTCCGTCCTGGTTAGTAATTTTTTTATTTTACATTTATGTTTTATTTTAATAATTTTTTAGTATATGTAATTAATTATTTTATTATAATTTTAAATTTTTAGAATATGCGTGTGTTCAAAATTAATGAATGAAGTTAGAGAAATTAGTTAATGTGTATGTCATTTATTTTTGTTTGTTGATATTAAATTTTTGTATTTCATGTGATTTAATTTTATTGTGCTGTGATATTAAATTAGGGGAACTTTTTTTTTTCAATGATGCATGGATCATGAATTAACATGTCTCGAACCACTGAAATATATTTAAATAGACTAGAAACATTTTTAAATTTTATAATGTCACATAGAGATGAAGTTGATGTTACTTTTTGTACATGTCCAAAATGTAATTTTAAAAGATAACATGAGGAATGATGTACGTGAATACTTAGTGTTAAAACAAATTTGTTGAGTCTTACAAAAAAAAAAAAACAAATTTCTTGAGATTATACATTTTGGTCAATGCATGCATGGAGAGACATGAAATGATGGATGAAATTAGTTATGTCTTAATAACTTTAGAAGCAAGAATTGAGATGTTACATTTAGTGTATCAAGAAATCTTATCATTAATACAGTTTGTGATGCATTTAGAGGGTCAGAAGAAACAACAATTTCTTAAGAAGTAAATGGTTATGATTGATTATTTTTTAATCAAATGGACGAAGAAACTACAATTTTTAATGTGGGAGAAGTTTCAAACACTAATTGCAGTATAGTCATGCGCTTAAAACTTCCAGACTTGTATGACATGGGAATGGAGATGCTAATTCCAATTATTATATCGAATCTTTCAAACCAAAATGTTTGGAAATAATATTTTTCAATAATTTGAACTTGCCGAAGTCTCATATTTTTATTTTAGCTTTGGTTGTTTCAATTTCTTTATGCTTAAATATTTTGCATGCTTTAATTTTGGAGGATCCCAGAGGATGAGAAAATCCGACAGTAGTCATTATGGTAAAGGCAAGACCATCATGCAAGGTAATGAAGATAATTTTTGTATTCACCTAAATGGGATTGATTTTAATATGAATGGTGAAGGTGCAAAGTTTTTAGACAATATGCCAAACTGTGATCAATTTATGAACTCAATCTTGTCTCCAGAGGTAGAGAGACACGATGGTCAGGGGCAGGAGACAAAGGGGAAAAATTTAGAACCTGCACCAGATGAAGAGTATGCACGACAGCAGCTTCAAAACCACAATCAACGCCAAGGTTGCGATGTTCAGGTTGAAGGTGTGTTTCTTGAATGAGGTGATATTGACTTTTGTATGTTTAAATTAAATTTTATTTAATAGTTATATATTCTTATAAAGTATACATTTGTTTTTTGTAGATCGATTTGGAAACAGAAAATTGCGTCATTTGTATGGGAAGGAGAATTCATTTTGATAGAGCGTAATGAATATGGCCATCCAGATAATGAATCAAGCGGATTGTTGGGATGTTTCATTGCAACTATTGCAAAAAATCCTAGGATATGTTCTATTGGATTTGATCGGTGGTCAAAGTTTCCAAAAAGAAAGAAGGATGAAGTTTTTAAAAATATCCTTAAGGTTATCAATTTAATTTTGTGAATACTCATATTGCTTTATAATATTTTAATACTAACAATAATTAAATATTTTTTGTATGGCCTCATTTTTCACTCTTAGATGAGGTTGAAAAATGGTGCCTAAAAAAGATGGGATATGGTTGGAGACAAGGAAGATTGGACCTGTGGAGTTTATATCAAGATGGAACTAAGACAAGGCGGCAACTGCTAGCAGATCCTCCAAAGAACATCCCAATCGAGGATTGGGAAAAATTAGTGGATTATTTTTTAAATCCCAAAGTAAGGTAATAAAACTCATTATTTTAATTATTAATTTTTAAAACATTTTTAACATAATTATTTGTTAAATTTTCTAGGAGACAGCAAAATCCAACAAGAAGCATAAAGCACATCAGGTTATTTTCTACCCCGGAAGATCAGAAATGAATACCAGAAAAAATAAGGAGCTGGTTAGTTATATTTATATCAATTCATACAAGTTAATTATAAATCATGAGTTGGGTTTGAAATAACAAACTCATTTTCATATTCACAGGGAAAAGCCAACCAAAAAATATTAAATTGTATTGAGTTATTTTTGGTAACACACGCGTAAAGATGTCATATTAAATTTAACTATCATGGCAATAATTTCATCTTCATTATCAAATTACTAAACTTTAAATGCTAACACATTGTAGGATAAAATGTGTGAGAACCAATCTCAAGTGGGCTCATGTGATGAAGAAGCAGCGGATAACATGTCATATGAAATATTTACACAAATTGTGGGCTCAAGGTGAACGTGTTTGTGGTTTGGGCATAGGTCCTACCTCATTTATAATGACTAGTTCTGCTTCTCGAGTTTCTGGATCAAATTCTGCTACAAGATATGCCCCAAATGTGAGGATGGCGCAATTGGAACAGGAGAACTTGCGCAACAGAGAAATGATTGCGAGAATGCAACAAAGGAAAGACCAAATGCAAAGTCAAATTGACCAGTTGTGGAATTATATCAAGCAAACAGGTGGTCAACCATCTAATCTGTTCCACGGTGATCATGGGCGATGAGTATCTTGTGTGTTGCTATGAGGAAGAGGATGTTTTTTGTATGATTTGAAGACTCTCATTTAAACTTTGTGTGGCTATTATTATTGCTTTTGTGAACTTAATTTACTCTGTGTTAAACACTTTGTTTAACATTATGTGTGTTCTAAACTAATGTGCCTTTGTGTGGTTTTTAAAATCTTTATTTCACTTTAATATCATAATATGCATTTTTTTGAATAAATGATTATTTAGTTTTTAAAAATTTAGAAATAATTTATTTGCTTTACAATCAACAAAATTTAAATAATTGAATATATTGACATTTGTATTATTTTTCCAAAACTATAAGTAAATCTAACTACAAAATTACACAAGGTTAACCATGGAGGTCCCAAAAAAAAAAAAATACATATGAATACTTCCCTCATTCCCTTTTAGTCTCCTTTTAGCAGAAGTTTCTCCTCAACTAGTAGCTCTCCCCTTCATTCATTCAATATCTATGGTGTTTCTTCTCCAAATTTTGTTTCCCTTCTACTCAACTGCTCTTCATTCTCTTCTCTTTCCTATCTTAAACATTAAATATTACTTAAATAAGACTTATCCTTTCCTATCTTTGTTTTTTTGATATTGTTTCTATTCACTACCAAGTCATTGATCTTCTATTTTAGTTTAGATATTTGAATATCTCAACTAAAATTATTAAATAGATAGATATAAAAATAAATTATATTAATATGATTAATATATTGTAAAAAAAAAAGATTACCTTATAACCGCTTGCTTTGTGTCATTAATATTATCAATATAAAGAACTTTCAATCTTGAATAAGGATTGCAAATATTGATATAACTAATATAATTAATATGAGAATAATTATATTAATATAAGAATAAATTAATATATTAAATGTGTATTTTTTAAAAATAATATTTTATATATATAACATTTGGGGTGTGAGGGGATAGGACATTACAATGATAATCTCATATTCCGTCTTCTCCTGAACCTTTCCTCTTTCGTCTCATAAAATTCCATCCCACTTTTTTAGGTTGAAAAAAAATCTATCCTAATAAAAACCAAACTAATCAGATTAGAACAAGATCGAATACCCTAAATTATATTGCCAAACCATCATTTTTTTATTGAACTAAACATGTTTTCCATGTGCAAACTCTAGGAATGATTGGAATGGCCTATGTGGGCCAAATAAAATAAAAAATAAAAAAAAAGGCCGTTTTCTTTTATATGCAGATTGGAATTTGGAAACTACTAGATATGGCTCTTGTCTCCAGATGTAAAAACATTTCAACATATTTCTTTTGGGTAAATTAAGAAGTTGTTATCTGGCCAAAATAAAATTTGGAGGTCGCTCACATAGTCATCAGGTGTTCTCAAAATGTTTGTGCAAATTCTCATTTGATGTTAACTTAAGTGATATAGGCAGGGTGAAATGTGGGTAGTGTTTTACCATTTTATATCATGAATGAAGTCAGAGAGATTGCATTTTAAAAATGAATTAAAGAGTAAAACTGTTTTTTTTTTCCTGAGGAATGCCTATTATTCTTTAAAAAAAAACAAATTTGTCCCAAAATTTTTAAAAAGAAACAATTTCACTATATTATTAACATGATCGTTTATTTGACAGTTACTTGGACTTCTTTCAGTGATTTGACATTTTAAAAAATTAGAAAAAATTACATATAACTTATATAGAGTAAACTTATTTATAAATAAATTTTATAAAATTTTAAAATTATAACTAAATCTTTTGAAACTTATGTATAATTTAAAATTGAGATAAAAAAATAATAATATTCTTAATATTCATATTAAACATATATATATTATATAAGTTAAATAATTTAAAATTACTTCATCAAAATTTATAACTATAACTTTTACTTTTTATAATTATAATTTATATATTTAATAATTAAACTGATCAATTTAACTATTGAATATGTAAAGTTACAATTATAAAAAATTTAAATTATAATTATAAATTATTAATAAAATAATTATAAATAATTAATATTAAATTTTATTAATAACACATGATTATTAAATTATTAAATATATGAAATTATAGTTATAAAAAGTTAAAATTATAATTATAAATTTTTAATGAAATAATTATAAATTAATTATTTAATTAATGTAATATATATTTAATAAAATTATTATTATTTTTATAACTTAATTTTAAATTACACATAAAATTTAAAAAATTTAATTGTAATTTTAAAATTTTACAGGATTTATTGATAAATAAGTTTATTTTATAGGACCATACATGATTTTTTAAAAAATTATAAAAAAACAAATCTAAAAATTACCGTTCTGCACAAGTTCGCCGGAAAACGGAAAAACAAATCACCGGCGAAGAAGGTAAAACAAGGAAATCGTGGCGGCGGCGCTTGTGGAGAAGGAGGGAGCGACGGTGAAACAGAAGGAACGAGAAGGTTGCTGGTTGAAGACGGTGAGCTTGTAGCGAGCTCGAATCAGGTGGGCGCACATGGACTGCCCCATGACGCCGGTTCCGATCCATCCCACACGGGAGTTTGATGGGCTTGGCGGCAGCGGCGGAGGAGGGTCAAGAGGGAGGAGGAGGGATTGGATGTCTGAGAGCGAGAGAGAGGATAGGAGCGCCTACTTCGCGAACGTCTTCTTTCCGTCAACCGTTGTCCTTCGATCTCAACTTCCCACCGTTGGATGTCGCGAACGTGGTGGGTGAAGATCTTCACTGTACCGCTCTCTGTATCTGGTCTCGAATCAAAGAGACATACCTGGAAATATAAATCTTCAGCCACTCTCTCACACGCAAGACAAGCATCTTCAACGGGTGAAGATCTTCACTGTACCGCGCCCTGTCTCATTTTAATTCTTGCCTTGCTGTATGTGTATGTAAATACTACTAGTTAAGAAAGTTAGAACCAGCTGTTCCTCAGATTGCTTTTTATCTCTTGCAGTTCCTGGAAATAGATTCCATTTCTGGTTTGGTTCCATTTTTTCCTTTGATAATCGAACTTGTGCTCTGGTTTGCTCCGAGAATGAATGGAGAGAGGGTATTTTCTTCTGATAATTTTTTAGAACATGCCAGGAGGCTTACGTGAGAAAGGAAGTCAAAGCTAATGGTGAGACAAACTATTACGCCAATGGCAGCTTGAAATTTTTCCCTTTTTAGAGTTCAAGAATAAATTTGTTTTGAAAGAAGAAGAAGAAGAAGAAGAAGCTTTATAATAACAGACGTTTTTTTAAAAAAATTTCAAAATATTTTTACCCTTTAATCATCTAAAAATAAATGTTTAACTGTCAGTATAGGTTAATTCAATTTATAAGAATCTTGCCCTTATCGTGTAAGGATGTGGATTTAATTCCAGTTTTCATATGAGAATATTATTCATAGATAATTTGTAAGTGCGCTTATACAGATGCTTCTTGAATTATAAGGTCTATTCCGATCTTAAATAGCTTTGAGACCAAAACACTTAAGCTCCTGGTTGAATTTTAAACTGATCGTTTTAAATATACGGTTGAATTGAGTCCAGAAGAGCAATTAATGCTTCTCGGTTAGCGCTATATGCCACAGAGATCTTCAAACATAAGCTGGAAGGCGGAAGCAGATGATCAATTTGGTGAACAAGGCACACATACGTGAGGAGGATGTTGTAAATTATAAACACTGAACAGGTCCTATCAAATATCAGGTTGTGTATCTTTGGGCACTTGCTGAATGCTGATACAAAGGCAAAGGCAGAGTAGCTGCTTGTTAATGCAGTGCTCGCATCTGGGAAAATTTTATAGCTCTTCAATGAAAGTAGTCACGTGAAGGGATAAGTTATCAATTAGTTATGTATTATTATTTGATTTCGTAATTAGAATTTGGGATTTTATTATTATTGAGATTATTACAATTAATTATCAATAATTTTCAGGAGAAATTTTTTAATGCCGATGGAGTGCTTAAATGCTAATCCTCTAATCCAATCATTTTTATATTTTAAATTGAAACTTTGCACATATCATAGGATCAAAAAGTCAACGTTTCCCTACACGCGCACATTCACACTCAGAAGGTAATTAAGAAGCTTGGATAGCAGCAAAGTGGTTGTTGAAGTGATGAAGCTTGTGTTTCTGCGTTTGTGGCAGGAATTCTGCGCTCCGACCTGGTGTATGCTATCAGTTTGGTTGAAGTTTTCAGTTTTTACGGATGTTGGTGCAATCACTTTCCTTGATTATGGCTGAATAGTAACTATTTCGGGAACGCGAAGTGCACAATGGTTGAACATGGAACTTAAATTGGTCGTTTGGATATTAGTTGTAGAAAATGATCACGTGAGGAAACTCAACTCAAAAAATTCAGTTCGCTACTGTAGAAAAACAGAGGTTTGAAAAGTAAAAGTCAGTTTAACAATAGCAGTCAAATAAAAACTGATACCGAAACACACCTAGGCTTTGAACTCAGTTATGAGACGAATGCATCTCTCCAAACTATAGTAAGACTAGTGCTGACCCACCAGCAAACATTAACAGCTCAAATGTTGTACCCTTCAATCACTCACGGGTTGATTCTTCTCTCTATGAATGGTTATTGACAGACCCTAATATGGAGACACGACTCATAAAAGAAAATGGCCTCACATAAAATTTATAGGAAACTATGCCTTCCCTTTTGATAATGTGTTTCTGTTGCACTACAAACAAAGTAGTAGCACTTTTTGAGAAATTAGTTTGTTTCCAAGTTTTGTGTTTCCACATAAGATGCTAAGAATTTGTGAAAACAATACTGTAGTTTCACCATTGAACTGGTGGGATCCAACCTGAAAACCTGAAGCAAATGTGTTGGATCAATGTCTGTACGCACATTTACAAGAGGAGATTAAATTATAAATGCAGGCTCATCTGTTCATCTGGGTCTCATTTATGATTACTCTTCTCTTCTTTCTTCGTACGAAAGAAGCAGTGAGTTATTTTGTTTTGGTGGTAGCAGACAGAGATGCTTTTAATTTGCTTCGATACATTCTGAATTTGCGAAGTGAACTCATTTTACATGCATTGGAGATGCTTATATTTATTACCTCTTATAAATCTCAACGAACATCTGTTTCCAAATTAAAACTT